ACCTCCATCCTCCCACACCCCCCATTTATCCTCCCACACCCCCCATTTATCCCTTCCCCTGCATCCCCCATTTATCCCTTCCCCTGCATCCCCCATTTATCCCTCCCCCTGCATCCCCCATCTCACCCCCTGTAATCACAGGCACGGCAGCGTGTGTGCGGGGAGCCAACCAGAATACGCCCCCATCGTGCTCACCAGCGCATCGGCCTCCATGATTGGTCAGGGCCTGCTGGGTCGCTCCTACCGCCTTGACCAGCCGTTGATTGGCGTTGACTCGGTTGACTTGCCTGATGATCAGCTGGCCTTTCAGGAGTTTCTGGCGTGGGGTGAGTGTGGGGGGAGGGGAGGGTGCGGGAAGGGTGGGGTGAGTGGGGGTGAGTGTGGGGGGTGGGTGAGGGGAGGGTTTGGTGAGTGTGGGGTGAGTGTGGGGTGAGTGGGTGTGGGGGGGGTGTGGGATGAGTGAGGAGTGAGGGTGGGGTGAGTGTGGACCGTGAAGTCTTTCCTGGCAATTCCCTACCAACCATGAATGTTGGGTTTGGGTGCCTGTGATTTGAAGCGTTTTGAGACGTCTCAAAATGTGATTTGAAGCGAATCATGTGTGAGACAGATCTCTCTTCCTCCATCCATGTCCTTCCTTCCTTTTCCATGTTCCTTTTCCATGTTCCTTTTCCATGTTCCTTTTCCATGTTCCTTGTCCATGTTCCTTGTCCATGTTCCTTTTCCATGTTCCTTGTCCATGTTCCTTGTCCATGTTCCTTTTCCATGTTCCTTGTCCATGTTCCTTTTCCATGTTCCTTGTCCATGTTCCTTTTCCATGTTCCTTGTCCATGTTCCTTTTCCATGTTCCTTGTCCATGTTCCTTTTCCATGTTCCTTGTCCATGTTCCTTTTCCATGTTCCTTGTCCATGTTCCTTGTCCATGTTCCTTTTCCATGTTCCTTGTCCATGTTCCTTTTCCATGTTCCTTTTCCATGTTCCTTGTCCATGTTCCTTTTCCATGTTCCTTTTCCATGTTCCTTGTCCATGTTCCTTTTCCATGTTCCTTGTCCATGTTCCTTTTCCATGTTCCTTGTCCATGTTCCTTGTCCATGTTCCTTTTCCATGTTCCTTGTCCATGTTCCTTGTCCATGTTCCTTGTCCATGTTCCTTTTCCATGTTCCTTGTCCATGTTCCTTGTCCATGTTCCTTGTCCATGTTCCTTGTCCATGTTCCTTTTCCATGTTCCTTGTCCATGTTCCTTTTCCATGTTCCTTGTCCATGTTCCTTTTCCATGTTCCTTGTCCATGTTCCTTTTCCATGTTCCTTGTCCATGTTCCTTTTCCATGTTCCTTGTCCATGTTCCTTTTCCATGTTCCTTGTCCATGTTCCTTTTCCATGTTCCTTGTCCATGTTCCTTTTCCATGTTCCTTGTCCATGTTCCTTTTCCATGTTCCTTGTCCATGTTCCTTTTCCATGTTCCTTGTCCATGTTCCTTTTCCATGTTCCTTGTCCATGTTCCTTTTCCATGTTCCTTGTCCATGTTCCTTTTCCATGTTCCTTGTCCATGTTCCTTTTCCATGTTCCTTGTCCATGTTCCTTGTCCATGTTCCTTGTCCATGTTCCTTTTCCATGTTCCTTTTCCATGTTCCTTGTCCATGTTCCTTTTCCATGTTCCTTTTCCATGTTCCTTGTCCATGTTCCTTGTCCATGTTCCTTGTCCATGTTCCTTGTCCATGTTCCTTGTCCATGTTCCTTGTCCATGTTCCTTTTCCATGTTCCTTGTCCATGTTCCTTGTCCATGTTCCTTTTCCATGTTCCTTTTCCATGTTCCTTGTCCATGTTCCTTTTCCATGTTCCTTTTCCATGTTCCTTGTCCATGTTCCTTGTCCATGTTCCTTGTCCATGTTCCTTGTCCATGTTCCTTGTCCATGTTCCTTTTCCATGTTCCTTGTCCATGTTCCTTGTCCATGTTCCTTGTCCATGTTCCTTTTCCATGTTCCTTGTCCATGTTCCTTTTCCATGTTCCTTTTCCATGTTCCTTGTCCATGTTCCTTGTCCATGTTCCTTTTCCATGTTCCTTGTCCATGTTCCTTTTCCATGTTCCTTTTCCATGTTCCTTTTCCATGTTCCTTGTCCATGTTCCTTGTCCATGTTCCTTTTCCATGTTCCTTGTCCATGTTCCTTTTCCATGTTCCTTTTCCATGTTCCTTTTCCATGTTCCTTGTCCATGTTCCTTGTCCATGTTCCTTTTCCATGTTCCTTGTCCATGTTCCTTTTCCATGTTCCTTGTCCATGTTCCTTTTCCATGTTCCTTTTCCATGTTCCTTTTCCATGTTCCTTGTCCATGTTCCTTGTCCATGTTCCTTTTCCATGTTCCTTGTCCATGTTCCTTGTCCATGTTCCTTTTCCATGTTCCTTTTCCATGTTCCTTTTCCATGTTCCTTGTCCATGTTCCTTGTCCATGTTCCTTTTCCATGTTCCTTGTCCATGTTCCTTTTCCATGTTCCTTTTCCATGTTCCTTTTCCATGTTCCTTGTCCATGTTCCTTGTCCATGTTCCTTTTCCATGTTCCTTGTCCATGTTCCTTGTCCATGTTCCTTTTCCATGTTCCTTGTCCATGTTCCTTTTCCATGTTCCTTTTCCATGTTCCTTTTCCATGTTCCTTGTCCATGTTCCTTGTCCATGTTCCTTTTCCATGTTCCTTGTCCATGTTCCTTTTCCATGTTCCTTTTCCATGTTCCTTGTCCATGTTCCTTGTCCATGTTCCTTTTCCATGTTCCTTGTCCATGTTCCTTTTCCATGTTCCTTGTCCATGTTCCTTTTCCATGTTCCTTGTCCATGTTCCTTTTCCATGTTCCTTGTCCATGTTCCTTTTCCATGTTCCTTTTCCATGTTCCTTTTCCATGTTCCTTTTCCATGTTCCTTGTCCATGTTCCTTTTCCATGTTCCTTGTCCATGTTCCTTTTCCATGTTCCTTTTCCATGTTCCTTGTCCATGTTCCTTGTCCATGTTCCTTTTCCATGTTCCTTGTCCATGTTCCTTGTCCATGTTCCTTGTCCATGTTCCTTTTCCATGTTCCTTGTCCATGTTCCTTTTCCATGTTCCTTGTCCATGTTCCTTTTCCATGTTCCTTGTCCATGTTCCTTTTCCATGTTCCTTGTCCATGTTCCTTGTCCATGTTCCTTGTCCATGTTCCTTTTCCATGTTCCTTGTCCATGTTCCTTTTCCATGTTCCTTTTCCATGTTCCTTTTCCATGTTCCTTTTCCATGTTCCTTGTCCATGTTCCTTGTCCATGTTCCTTGTCCATGTTCCTTTTCCATGTTCCTTTTCCATGTTCCTTGTCCATGTTCCTTGTCCATGTTCCTTGTCCATGTTCCTTTTCCATGTTCCTTGTCCATGTTCCTTTTCCATGTTCCTTTTCCATGTTCCTTTTCCATGTTCCTTTTCCATGTTCCTTGTCCATGTTCCTTGTCCATGTTCCTTTTCCATGTTCCTTGTCCATGTTCCTTTTCCATGTTCCTTTTCCATGTTCCTTTTCCATGTTCCTTTTCCATGTTCCTTGTCCATGTTCCTTGTCCATGTTCCTTTTCCATGTTCCTTGTCCATGTTCCTTGTCCATGTTCCTTTTCCATGTTCCTTGTCCATGTTCCTTTTCCATGTTCCTTGTCCATGTTCCTTTTCCATGTTCCTTTTCCATGTTCCTTGTCCATGTTCCTTGTCCATGTTCCTTTTCCATGTTCCTTGTCCATGTTCCTTGTCCATGTTCCTTGTCCATGTTCCTTTTCCATGTTCCTTTTCCATGTTCCTTGTCCATGTTCCTTGTCCATGTTCCTTTTCCATGTTCCTTGTCCATGTTCCTTTTCCATGTTCCTTGTCCATGTTCCTTTTCCATGTTCCTTGTCCATGTTCCTTGTCCATGTTCCTTTTCCATGTTCCTTTTCCATGTTCCTTGTCCATGTTCCTTGTCCATGTTCCTTTTCCATGTTCCTTGTCCATGTTCCTTTTCCATGTTCCTTGTCCATGTTCCTTTTCCATGTTCCTTTTCCATGTTCCTTGTCCATGTTCCTTTTCCATGTTCCTTGTCCATGTTCCTTTTCCATGTTCCTTGTCCATGTTCCTTTTCCATGTTCCTTGTCCATGTTCCTTGTCCATGTTCCTTTTCCATGTTCCTTGTCCATGTTCCTTGTCCATGTTCCTTGTCCATGTTCCTTTTCCATGTTCCTTGTCCATGTTCCTTGTCCATGTTCCTTGTCCATGTTCCTTGTCCATGTTCCTTTTCCATGTTCCTTGTCCATGTTCCTTTTCCATGTTCCTTGTCCATGTTCCTTTTCCATGTTCCTTGTCCATGTTCCTTTTCCATGTTCCTTGTCCATGTTCCTTTTCCATGTTCCTTGTCCATGTTCCTTTTCCATGTTCCTTGTCCATGTTCCTTTTCCATGTTCCTTGTCCATGTTCCTTTTCCATGTTCCTTGTCCATGTTCCTTTTCCATGTTCCTTGTCCATGTTCCTTTTCCATGTTCCTTGTCCATGTTCCTTTTCCATGTTCCTTGTCCATGTTCCTTTTCCATGTTCCTTGTCCATGTTCCTTTTCCATGTTCCTTGTCCATGTTCCTTTTCCATGTTCCTTGTCCATGTTCCTTGTCCATGTTCCTTGTCCATGTTCCTTTTCCATGTTCCTTTTCCATGTTCCTTGTCCATGTTCCTTTTCCATGTTCCTTTTCCATGTTCCTTGTCCATGTTCCTTGTCCATGTTCCTTGTCCATGTTCCTTGTCCATGTTCCTTGTCCATGTTCCTTGTCCATGTTCCTTTTCCATGTTCCTTGTCCATGTTCCTTGTCCATGTTCCTTTTCCATGTTCCTTTTCCATGTTCCTTGTCCATGTTCCTTTTCCATGTTCCTTTTCCATGTTCCTTGTCCATGTTCCTTGTCCATGTTCCTTGTCCATGTTCCTTGTCCATGTTCCTTGTCCATGTTCCTTTTCCATGTTCCTTGTCCATGTTCCTTGTCCATGTTCCTTGTCCATGTTCCTTTTCCATGTTCCTTGTCCATGTTCCTTTTCCATGTTCCTTTTCCATGTTCCTTGTCCATGTTCCTTGTCCATGTTCCTTTTCCATGTTCCTTGTCCATGTTCCTTTTCCATGTTCCTTTTCCATGTTCCTTTTCCATGTTCCTTGTCCATGTTCCTTGTCCATGTTCCTTTTCCATGTTCCTTGTCCATGTTCCTTTTCCATGTTCCTTTTCCATGTTCCTTTTCCATGTTCCTTGTCCATGTTCCTTGTCCATGTTCCTTTTCCATGTTCCTTGTCCATGTTCCTTTTCCATGTTCCTTGTCCATGTTCCTTTTCCA